TATGTGAGTTTCTCCGCACGTGTGTTACAATAAAACTTACGTCTCCTTGATTAAGAACAAATACCTTTCGAGCTTCTTCTTACTTCTGGATAGAAAATCCCACAACAGGCTCGTAAAGTGCTTAAACTGTTGTGTCCTTAGGCAAGACACAATGTAGCTTGGAGTGAATGAATAATGACGTGTGAAGCTTTGTTGTCCATAAAACGTGCTACACACCGATGCATTATTATCAGACTCATTGTCCATCATCGGTCCTGGTCGTTCCCATCCAAACACCACGTGACAAAATTATTTGTCTCTTTTTTAAACTATTATCTTCTCTGAACGTCTTTGCTCTGCTGCCTGTCTACCTCATGTTTCTGTTTCATCCAAAAGGCAGATCTTGGAAAAACCCATTTTTGCCTCATAAAATTACCATCTACTTTGGCATTTCATGTTTGAGAAAGTGAAACAAAAAGTATGGATAAACACAATTAGTGGAAAAGAGATGAGAAAACACCCCATCAAGTGGTAATTCGATTAATTCCACAATCTATATATAAATGCTCTTGGATTTGAAAAGTCCAGGACAATGTGCTCACAAATGGGATATTTTGGATCTGTCTACAAAGAATAACATAATTACATCATTTCCGCAGGGTAAGAAAAATATAGTTTGACAAGACAAACTCAAGAATTGCAGTGCTTTCTCTAAACTACTGAGCCGTGGTGAACACTGGCTCTTGAGTATGGCCTAACTTCTTTCCCAACTCTTTGGGTCTTAGAGAAAAAGTCTCCTATTTCTATATGATGCGCAGAAACATGTCTTGTTTGTGTGCTTGCTGAATAGTAAAAACATGTAAAACAGTGGCTGCCAGGGCCCTGGCTGGTCCTGTGTGGGTAGAAGTGAGGTGGCAATGGTCTTCAGAAGTCTGCTACATCCTGCTGAGGTTCCACCGCTCATTCTTTTATTCACCATGTCACTGCCCGTAAATGTTTATTCGCTCGCTGGTAAGACCTCCGCTATTCAAAATGATCTTGTTCACAATGCATCCTGGAGCTGGAATAAAGTCTTTCTTTATGGGGGGACCAGTAAACTGGGGTAGTGTGCTTTGCAGGGAACAATAGCATTTATTAAGAGTCCAGCAAAAGGCCATGCCCAAAGGGGACTGTAAACTTTTCACATGTCTTTTTTGCTAAGCTGTCTGGTATTTTGTCCGTTGATTTTTATGTAAGTATTCATGTAACAGTACCTTTCTGTATGTGTGGGACTACAGTACATGACATAGCAATGTGATAATGTAACCCAGGGGTCTAAATATTATTGAAAATGTGTTTTAATTGGAGAGACCAAAAGAGCGATCTTTTCCAACAGCAGCAACAGCGGCCGCGTAACATGCCTGACGTGGCAGAAACATGATGGTTATTGAGAAGAAGCAGAACATGAAGAGACAGAAGCAGAAACATGTGGCAATTGACTATACAGTATACAGTATTTTATTTCTCAAGAGATAAAGAAATTTTGTCTACATTTAGTCACGTCATTTATGGACATGATAATGTTTGGCTTCTGTTGATACGAAATTGACAGTTTTGTCCTCTGGAAACCAACTGCTGTTGTGAATTAAGGCTGTTACTAACACAATTGAAATGTAATATGAACATGAAAAAAAAAAAACATAATCAACCAGTGTTGTTCAAACAAAAAAGAGAGTATGGGGGAGAACATACGGCTGGTGAGATAAATCTGTCACCAAAAATCTGTGTATCCAGCTTCATTCACCACATCGAGTGAAATTACTTTTTTGAATAGTGTGCTTTGAGGGGGGGGGGTTGGTTGAATCGTGTGTGTTCCTGTTTGCAAAGCTTCAGTTTGGTCACCTCGGGTTATGAGCCCCCATTGTTTAAAGGGGACTGCCTGCCTCTTTTACCTCTGTATATTTTGGCCGTACGCTTTAGCCCTTTACACTCTCCCTGCTCTCCTCTGGCATTACGCGGCTTTTTTCTCCCGTCCTTTCCCAGGTTTTGGCTCCGATCAGACTCGTGCTGAGCCCTCGTCTCAATGCAGAGCCATGAGCATCGTAATCCGACATCGATCCTGCCATGAGTTGTTGCTGTCAGCTTTCTGAAAATAGAAAAAAAAAATAGAATAACAGAAAGAAACAAAAAAAAAACAAAGCACAACTCTAATTAGCGGAGGGTTAGAATGGGGTATTATTACAGCGTGGGGTCCAGTTTGGACAGAGCATGCCGCCGTGTCACTGCTCTCTCAAAGTAAAGCCTTACAGAAGCCGGGGGAATTGCGCTCTACCATTTTGCCAGAAGCCCACACCATATCTTCTTTGCCAGCTTTAGATCCGCATAAGCCCTCTCTCTCTCTCCAAGCCAAGTAAGCACTCCTATTTGAATGTTAGTTAATTCCTAATTAAAGCATCGACAGCCTATCAGCGACGGTTGACTATAACTGCAATATGAAGAAAAAATCAAAAAAAACTATATGGACATAAATTGAAGCAGCTTTTCAAGGATGCCACTGGACTGGCTGGGAGTGCCCATAGGGCAGTCGAGAGAGAGATAACCTTTGTAAGGAGCAGAGCGGCTACAATTATGCCTTTTCAAAGCTTTTGTCCCAAACGCTAAGTCTCCACCTTTGAGTAATTCATTGGGGGCAATTTAACTTCTTTGCTCTCCTTTCACTGCGCCGAGGTGGTACAATGGTTGAATTTGAATAAGAAAGAGGTGTTTGAGAAAAGAAGTGCTCACCAATTTTTTTTTTAATAATAGACACCACTGATACACTTTTTCTAAAAAATATTCCTGCATTCATGAATTGGATGCTATGCTGATTTGTTTTGGCATAAAGTTGTTTGGCATAAACCATTTTGGAGTAAATTATAAGCTTTGGTACAATTTTTACATTTTGGACACTTGAGGCCAATTGCTTGTGAGGGGACATTTAAAAGTGGGCTGCCTGGCTTTTTAAACATCACATACAATTAAACCATGTTATACAAACCATCCTGTTCGGCCCTCGGGTCTGTAAATTGCTCCTATTTTGGGATTTTGTGTGTTTTGTGTGTGTGCGTGTGTGGCAATCCCTCCTGTCTCAAGATCCCTTGCCTGTGATTGGACAACCACTGGCTCTCCCACTCCAGAAGTCGTGACTCAGGTGTGATTGGAGGAGTCACTCTCCCACTTAAGGGCCACCACTCCACACCTGTTCGGGCTGCCAGCCTGTGCCAAAATTGTCCTTCAGGAAAGTGTCTGTCATTGTCACAAGTGGTGGCAATGACTTTTGAAGACAGTCCTTATGGTCCGTATAGTTTTTATTTGGTTTGTCTCTTTTTATTTGGTCCACTTTTGGGTTTTGTTTTTGTTGGAACACTTTGCTTTTGTTGAGACAGCAGGTAGGTTTAAGTGTTTAGTGTAGGTCTTGTTTTTGGTAGTGTTGAGTTACCCCCTTATGTCCTGTGTTGTTGTCCTTTTGATTTATGTCTAATTCTCCTTTACTTGTCTGTCATTTTTCATCTTTTTTTTGGTTTTTTGTTACCTCCCTTACCTAGGCAGAGCTGGGTCGTAACACATCCAAACATTTTTTTATTCTCCAATACAGTTTGATCACTAGTTCACATGCTTGTATTTTTTGGCCTTCTCATCAGCCTTTACAGACAGAAAAATAAATGTGAATATATGAAAGAATTTTTTTTTCAAATAAGATGAAGGACATTCTAATCTCACAAGGAAAACAAGTGAGTCATCGTATTTGTATTCCATTTATTGTTCTTGGAGTGCCAAATTTTCCAATTCACGATGATGGCAGTAAGAAAAACACTCACACAATCACCATCCATGCGGCTCTCATTGTACTCAGATCTGTGTACATTAAACGTGAAGAGGGGAGAACATGCAAACTCCACATAGAATGTCCTGTCTGGAAGTAGGGATCAAACACACAGGACCTTATTGCTGTGACGCAGAAGCGCTAACCCACTACGCCACCAAGCCGCCTATGGTAGCATACAACTTTAAGAGGATTCAAAAAGAATAATAGACTCTGGGCTTATAACTTCTAAGGAACTCTATTGCCAAATTTACAAAAAGTGTTATGGAGGCTTAACTTACAGTAGTCTTCGACACTCCGCCCCAAAGTGTTTGCGGAGAATTGAATTACACCCCTCTGGAGAAGCAAGCCACAAAGAAACAACTGAAATGGGAGAAAATGTGTGAAATGGAGTTCTTCTGGCTCTGTACCGAGCAAACATGAGCCTCTGTCAGCTTCAAGGGAGAGATACTGTATGGTGAGTTACTATGGAAACAGCCAAAACCGGCGGTGAGGCGCGCTAACGCTAGCCCGATTGTTTCTCACAAACACGGTCACCGGGACCTGGCTGTCAAGCTGCTCGGGGAGAAGCACTCACAGCACTTACTGCCTTTTCTATTTCCTTGGTTTACTGTAGGCTTATTCCCAGTCCACCTTCTAAATCCCGCGCGTGAAGGACAGCCGAGCTCTGCGGACTTTCATGCCCTGTTAAAGGAAAACTAACAAAACTGGGGTTAAATCTGTGCTGACTGGTGGCCTCAAGTCTGGGCTGCTGAACAGGCAATACTTTCCCTTTTAAGAGAGCGTAATAATATAGTACACAGGTCTTGCATCATAAATTGGCCAAAAGCTTACCAGTCTGACTTGGTTTTTGTGTCATGAATTCACCTTTTCCTTGGTGAAGAAATTTACCAGCAGATCAGATTTTTAGGCAACATTTTATCCCATCTATATTTACAATATGCATATGGTCACAATACATCATGCGTTAGACATTCTTTTCAGCTCCCTCTTTTCTCAATCCTAACACCTGGAGTCAGCCAAACAGTGTCCTACTAAAAAAACAGGTCGTCAATTTCATGCTGATTATATATTCGGTGATAATGCGTCACGTATTTAACTCCTGTTCTGAGCAGTGACGCTGTGGAGCTTTGAGGTGTTTAATAAAAGCGCGGCAGGGCACGGCTGATCTTTGCCTGGGATGGTCCGGAGGAGAGAGGAGGGACAGCGGCCACCTGCCAGTGGGAGCGCTACACTTTATCTGAGCCACGAGGAGACAGAGTCAGGGCCTCCATCAGACCAATCAAACGGCTCCAACAGCTGGGCTGCGTGCCCTGCCCAGCATCTCTGCATCCATTCTCCTGTCTGTGTATCGCGAATCACCCCCCCCCACCACACCACTCACTCCTCTGACCCACAGCCACAAATATTTACTGCTCCTCTCGTTCTGGATTCATTAGTCCAGGTTAAAATAGCAATCACAGCACACACACACACACAAAGGTACCTTTTCTTGTTTACATTGTTGTTTAAAAGGTCCAAGGTTGAATCCTGGTCAGAAACAGGGCCTCTCTAAGTGGGTGGAGTTTGCAGGTTCTTCTCGTGTCTGTCTGAGTTTCCTCCAGTGCTGCAGTTTCTCCTACCACACTTGGTCCGAACATTGTAAAGCATTTGTTGAACCTTGGTCTGTAAAAATGTATTATAAAAAGAACTATTCCTTACTCACTAATTTGCAGAAATTACAGCTACATTTATATTGACTTCACGGGGTAGTGACAGTGTAGTAATTAATACAACATTACGGGTTAATTCACATGGTCAAAGCAATATAATTATAAAACTCATAACCAGTGTATTCCTTTGCTTTTATAACACTTAGTTGGACATATTGTTGATAATTGGCCCATTATTGATGAAACAATCTTATTACCTTATATTTCCATAAAACCTCAAAGTTATAAAAATGCAGTACAGGAAAAGAATATTAAGGTTTGATCAGTTGTTGATCCCCTCAAATACAACATGTATCGTTTTATCAAAATGAGCCTGATGGACCGTAAGCTATAGCTGTGTATAACATGTAACTTTGTCTGTAAGTATATACAGTATATATAAATTGTCCCACTCACCTTTGGCCCTCCGCGGGAGCGGGGTTTTATCCCTCTCTAGCTCGGGTCCTCTACCAGAGGCCAGGGAGCTTGAGGGTTCTGCGCAGTATCTTTGCTGTCCTAGCACTGCACATTTCTGGACCGAGATGTCCGAGGTTGTTCCGGGGATCCGCTGTAACCACTCATCTAGCTTCGGGGTCACTGCCCCGAGTGCACCGATCAACACGGGCACTACTGTCACCTTTACCCTCCCGGCCCTCTCCAGCTCCTCTCTGAGGACCTTGGTATTTCTCAAGCTTTTCTGTTCTTTTTTCCGGATGTTACCATCGCTTGGAATTGCCACGTCCACACCACGGCTGTCCTCTGCCCTTTTGTCTAACCCCACGATGTCAGGTTGGTTTGCCATTACCATTCGGTCGGTCTGTATCTGGAAGTCCCACAGGATCTTCGCACGCTCATTCTCCACACCTTTGGAGGAGTTTCCCATTAGACCTTGGGGTTTCCAGCCCATACTCTCCACAGATGTTTCTGTACACTATGCCAGCCACTTGGTTATGGCGTTCCATGTAGGCCTTCCTGCCAGCATCTTGCCACCCTGCAGTTATGTGTTGGATCGTCTCAGGTGCCTCTTTGCACAAACCGACACCTTGGGTCTTGTCTGGTGTGGTATATCTGGGCCTCTATCGCTTCTGTGCTCAGTGCCTGTTCCTGTGCAGCCATGATGAGTGCCTCTGTGCTGTCCTGTAGGCCAGCCCTTTTTAGCCATTAGTAGGATTCTTGAGATCAGCCCACTTCTGTTATGCTCCGGTGGTACATGCCGTGTAGGGGCTTGTTCTCCCATGATGGGCTCTCCTCCAGCACCTCCTCATCTCGCCGCTGCCTGGGAGACATTCATTGAGTACGTCATCCGTTTTGGCCCTTCTCCATGATGTAGTTTTGGAGTTTGGATGTTTCGTCCTGGGACAGTGGCTTCACACTCACTAGTCCTCGGCCTCCTTCTTTACGGCTTACGTACAGTTCTCAGAGTGCTGGATTTGGGAAGGAACCGCCATGCATGGTAAGGTGCTTTCGAGTTTTAACATCCGTGGTCTGAATCTCTCCTTTGGCACCTGATTATTCCTGCAGGGTAATCTGATCACTGGACAGGGCGTAGCTGTTAATTGCCCGTGCCTTGTTTCTTTGCCATTGAGCCGGCTTCTTAGGACCTGCCTTACTCGCTGGAGGTATTGGCAGTTGCCGCTTTCCTCCAGCGGCAATATATAGTATATATTTTCTCCAATATATATATATATAGGAGGAATATATATGATATATATTGCCGCTGGAGGAAAGCGGCAACTGCCAAATACCTCCAAGCGAGTAGTAGGCAGGTCCTAAGAAGCCGGCTCAATGGCAAGGAACAAGGCGCCGGGCAATTAACAGCTAGCCCTGCCAGTGATCAGATACCCTGCAGGAATAATCAGGTGGCCCCAAGGAAGAGGATTCAGACTGACGGATGTTAAAACTCGAAAAGCTCCTTACCATGCATGGCGGGGGTTCCATCCCAAATCCAGCACCCTGGAGGACTGTACGTAAGCCGTAAAGAAGGAGGCGAGGACTAAGTGAGTGGTGAGAGCCACTGTTCAGGACGATTACATCCATAAACTCCATAACTACATCATGGAGAAGGCCAAACGGATGACGTACTCAGTGAATGTCTAGGCAGCGGCGAGATGAGGAGGTGCTGGAGGAGAGCCCATCTTGGAGAACAAGCCCCTACACTGGGCATTGTACCACCGGGCATAACAGAAGTGGCTGATCTCAAGAAGTCCTCCCTAATGGCTAGAAAGGGCTGGCCTTACTGGGACAGCACAGAGGACACTCATCATGGCTGCACAGGAACAGGCATCTGAGCACCAGAGCGATAGAGGCCCAGATATTACCACACCAGACAAGGACCCAAGGTGCGGTTGTTCAAAGAGGCACCTGAGACGATCCAACACATAACTGCAGGGTGCAAGATGCTGGCAGGGAAGGGCCTACATGGAAGCCCATAAACCAAGTGGGCTGGCATAGGTGTACAGAACATCTGTGGTGAGTATGGGCTGGAAACCCCAAGGTCTAAGTGGGGAAAACTCCTCCAAAGGTGGTGGAGAAATGACGCGTGCGAAGATCCTGTGGGCTTCCAGATACAGACGAGCCGAATGGTAATGGCAAACCAACCTGACATGTGGTGGTAGACAAAGGGCAGGGACAGCCGTGGTGGTGGACGTGTGGCAATTCCAGCGACGATGGTAACCAATCCGGAAAAAAGAACATGAAAAGCTTGAGAAAATACCAAGTTCTCAGAGAGGCGCTGGAGTGGGGCCTAGAGGGTAAAGGTGGACAGTAGTGCCCGTGGTGATCGGTGCCAAGGGGCAGTTGACCCGTAGGCTAGATGAGCGTGGTTACAGCGGATCCCGGAACACCTCGGACATCTCGGTCCAGAAATGTGCAGTGCTAGGAACACAAAGATTACTGCCGCAGAACCTTCAAGCTCCCTGGCCTCTGGTAGAGGACCCGAGCTTAGAGAGGGATAACCGCCGCGAGAGGGCCAAAGGTTGGAGGGACAATTTTTATTACTGTATATACTTACAGACAAAGTTACATGTTATATCAGTCTATAGCTTTACGGGTCATCAGGCTCATTTTGATAAAAAACGTATACATGTTGTCATTTGAGGGGATCATCAATCTGATCACCTTAATTATTCTTTTCCTGTACTGCATTTTATACCTTTGATGGTTTTATGGAAATATAGGTATCAGATTGTTCATCAATAATGGGCCAATTATCAAACAATATGTCTACTAAAAGGTTTATAAAAGCAAAGGATACATCTGGTTATGAGTTTATAGATTATATTGTTTGACATTGTGAGGATTAACCCGTTAATGTGTGTATTAATAACTACACTGTCACTACCCCTTTGAAGTCGATATAAATGTAGGCTTGTAATTTCTCAAAGTAGTGGAGTAAGGAATATTTCTTTTTATAAGACTATTTTTTACAGACCAAGGTCAACAAAAGCTGCTTTACAATGTTCTTGTTTTTTGGACCAAAGTGTGGTAGGAGAAACTGCTAGCACCTGGAGGAACTCAGAACAGACGACGAGAAGAACCTGCAAAACTCCACCACTTAGAGAGGCCCTGTTCTGACCAGGATTCAAACCTTGGACCTTTTAAACAACAATGTAAACAAGAAAAGGTTACCTTGTGTGTGTGATTGTGTGTGTGTGCTGTGATTGCTATTTAACCTGGACTAATGAATCCAGAACGAGAGGCGAGCAGTAAATATTTGTGGCTGTGTGGGTCAGGAGGTGTCGTGTGTGGTGGTGGGGGGTGGTCCTGTTCGCGATACACAGGACAGGAGATGGATGCAGAGATGGCTGGGCAGGGCACGCAGCCAGCTGTTGGAGCCGTTTGATTGCGTCTGTGGAGGCCTGGCTCTGTCTCCTCGTGGCTCAGATAAAGTGTAGCGCTCCCACTGGCAGGTGGCCGCTTGTCCCTCCTCTCTCCTCCGGACAATACCAGGCAAAGATCAGCCGTAGCCTTGCTTTTTCGCTTTTATTAAACACCTCAAAGCTCCACAGCGTCACTGCTCAGAACAGTGGATGTTGAAATACGGACGCTTTATCATCCGAATAATAATCAGCATGGAATTGACGATGTTTTTTTAGTAGGGACACTGTTTGGCTGACTCCAGGTGTTAGGATTGAGTAAAAGAGGGAGCTGAAAGGAATGTCTACGCATGATGAGTATTGTGACCCATGCATATTGTTAAATATAGATGGGATAAATGTTGCTAAAAATCTGGATCTGGCTTGGTAAATTTTCACAAGGGGAAAAGGTGAATTCATGACACCAAAACCAAGTTGGATTACTGGTAAGTTTTGGCCCTTTATGATGAGCAAGACATGTGTACTATATTATTACGCTCTCCTTAAAAGGGAAAGTATTGCCTGTTCAGCAAGCCCAGACTTGATGCCACCCAGTCAGCACAGCTTTACCAGTTATGTTAGTTTTCCTCTTAAACAGGGCATGAAAAGTCCGCAGAGCTCGGCTGTCCTTCACGCGCTGGATTTAGAGAGGTGGACGGATAAGCCTACAGTAAACCAAGGAAATAGATAAGGCTGTAAGATGCTGTGAGTGTGCTTCTCCCCGAGCAGCTTGACCGCCATGGTCCGGTGACCGATGGTTGTATGTTTGTGACAATCGGGCAGCTGTTAGCGCGCCTCACCGCGGTTTGGCTGTTTCCATAGTTAACTCACCATACAGTATCTCTCCTTGCAGCTGGACAGGAGCTCATGTTTGCTCGGTACAGGAGCCAGATGAACTCATTTCACACATTTTCTCCCAGTTTCAGTTGTTTCTTTGTGGCTTGCTTCTCCAGAGGGGTGTAATTCAATTCTCCGCAACACACTTTTGGGGCGGTTCGTCGGAGTGTGAAGACTACTGTAAGTTAAGCCTCCATAACACTTTTTGTACTTTGGCAATGAGTCCTTAGAAGTTATATAGCCCAGGAGTCTATTTTCTTTTTGAATCTCTTAAAGTTTGTATGCTACCATAGGCGGCTTGGTGGCGGATGTGGGTTAGCGCTTTCTGCGTCACAGCAATAAGGTCCTGTGTTTGATTCCTACTGCAGACAGGACATTTTCTATGTGGTGTTTGCATGTTCTCCCCTCTTCACGTTTTAATGTACACAGATCTGAGTACAATTAGTGAGCCGCATGGATGGTGATTGTGTGAGTGTTTTGCTTCTGCCATCATGTGAATTGGAGAAATGTTGGCACTCCAAAACAATACATGGAATACAAAATAACTATGACTCACTTGGTTTTCTTGTGAGATTAGAATGTCTTCATCGTATTGAAAAAAAATTCTTTCATATATTCACATCTATATTTTTCTGTCTGTAAAGGCTGATGATCCGAGGGCCAAAGACAATACATGCATGTGAAACTAGTGATCAAACTGTTTGGAGAATTTAAGAAAAATGTTTGGATGTGTTACGACCCAGCTCTGCTAGGGTAAGGGATTTGGTAACAAAAAACCAAAAAAAAGATGAAAAATGACAGACAAGTAAAGGAGAAGTCAGACATAAATCAAAAGGACAAAACACAGGACATAAGGGTGGTAACTCAACACTACCAAATCAAGACCTACACTAAACATTAAACCTACTGCTGTCTCAACAAAAAGCAAGTGTCACAAACAACAAAACCCAAAAGTGACAAATAAAAAGAGACAAACCAAATAAAAACTATACGGACCATAAGGACTGTCTTCAAGTCATTGCCCTACCACTTGTGACAATGACAGACACTTTCTGGACAGGACCAATTTGGCACAGGCTGGCAGCCCCGTACAGGTGTGGAGTGTGGCCTTAAGTGGGAAGCGGGACTCCTCCAATCAGCACCTGTGTTCACGGCCTTCTGGGAGGGTGGGAGAGCATGTGGGTGTTGTCAATCACAGGCAAGGGATCTTGAGACAGGAGGGGTTGGCCACACACGCACACACAAAACCACACCAAATCCAAAATAGGAGCAATTTACGACCCAGGGCGTAACAGGATGGTTTGTATAACATGGTTTTAATGTCTATGTGATGTTTAAAAAGCCAGGCAGCCCAGCTTTTAAATGTTCCCCTCACATGCCAATTGCCTCAAGTGTCAAAATGTAAAATTGTACCAAAAGCTTTAAATTTACTCCAAAATGGTTTATGCCAAAACCTTTATGCCAAAACAAATCAGCATAGCATCAAAATCATGAATGCAGGATTATTTTAAGAAAACAAGTGGTATCAGTGGGTGTCTCTTATTAAAAAAAAAATTGGGTGAGCACTTCTTTTCTCAAACACCTCTTTTCCTTATTCAAATTCAACCATTGTACCTCCTCGGCGCAGTGAAAGGAGAGCAAAAGAAGTTAAAGTTTGCCCAATGAATTACTCAAAGGTGAGACCTTAGCTGTTGGGACAAAAGCTTTGAAAAGGCATATTGTAGCCGCTCTGCTCCTTACAAAGTTATCTCCTTCTCGGACTGGTCCTTGGGCACTCCAGCCAGTCAGTGGGCATCTTGAAAGCTGCTTCATTTATGTCCATATAGTTTTTTTTGGTTTTTTCTTCATTATTGCAGTTATAGTCAGGACCGTCGCTGATTAGGCTGTCGTTGCTTATTTAGGATTATACTAACATTCAAATAGGAGTGCTTACTTTGGCTTGGAGAGAGAGAGAGAGGCTTGCGGAATCTAAGCTGGGCAAGGAAGGATATGGTGTGGGCTTCTGGGCAAAATGGCTAGAGCGCAATCCGGCTTTTCTGTAAGGGCTTTACTTTGAGAGAGCGTGACACGCGGCATGCTCTGTCAAACTGGACTCCCACGCTGTAATAATACCCCATTCTAACCCTCCGCTAATTGAGTTGTGCTGTGTTTTTTTTTTGTGTTTCTTTCTGTTATTCTATTTTTTTTTTTCTATTTTCAGAAATGCTGGACAGCAACATACTCATGGCGGATCGATGTCGGATTACGAGGCTCATGGCGCTGCATTGAGACGGTGGGCTCAGCACGAGTCTGATCGGAGCCAAAACCTGGGAAAGGACGGGAGAAAAAGCCGCGTTAATGCCAGAGGAGAGCAGGGAGAGTGTAAGGGCTAAAGGCGGAACGGCCCCACAAATATACAGAGAGTAAAAGAGGCAGCAGTCCCCTTGAAACAAGGCTCATAACCCGAGGTGACCAAACTGAAGCTTATGCAAACATGAACACACACACGATCAAACTCAAAGGCAACTATTCAAAAAAGTAATTTCACTCGATGTGTGAATGAAGCTGGATACACAGGATTTTTGACAGATTTTATCCCAGCCGTAATGTTCTCCCATTACTCTCTTTTTTGTTTTGAACACACTGGTTTGATTATGTTTTTTTTTTTTTCATGTTCATTTACATTTCAATTTGTGTTAGTACAGCCTTAATTCACAACAGAGTTGTTTCAGAGGACAAAAACTGTCAATTTAGTATCAACAGAAAGAAACATTATCTTGTCCATAAATGACGTGACCTAAATGTAGAAAAAATTTCTTTATCTCTTGAGGAAATAAACTTACTGTATACTGTATAGTCAAATTGCCAACATGTTCTGCTTCTGTCTCTTCTTGTTCTGCTTGCTTCTCAATAACTAAACATTGTTCTGCACGTCAGGCATGGTTACGCCGGGGCGGCCGCTTGTTGGCTGCTGTTGAGGAAAAGGGTCTCTCTTTTGGTCGCTCCAATTAAAACAACATTTTCACTAAATATTTAGACCCCTGGGTTACATTATCACATTGCTTATGTCATGTACTGTATGTCCCAACAGTACAGAAGTACTGTCATGAATACATACATAAAAATCAACGACCAAAATACCAGACAGCTAGCAAAAAAGACATGTGAAAAGTTTACAGTCCCCTTTGGGCATGGCTTTGTTGGGACTCTCTATAAATGCTATTGTTCCCCTGCAAAGCACCTACCCTCTGTTTTCTGTCCCCCATAAAGAAAGACTTTATTCCAGCTCAGGGATGCCATTGTGACAAGATATTCTGAATAGGGAGGTCTTACCAGCGAGCCTTAGGCGCTAAACATTTACGGGCAGTTGACATGGTGAATAAAGAATGAGCGGTGGAACCTCAGCAGGATGTAGGCAGACTTCTGAAGACCATTGCCACCCCTCACTTCTACCCACACGGGGACCAGGGCCAGGGCCCTGGCAGCCACTGTTTTACATGTTTTTTACTATATCAGCAGCACACAAACAAAAAAAAAAGACATGTTGCTGCGCATTCATTATAAATAGGAGACTTTTCTCTAAGGACCCAAAGAGTTGGGAACGAAGTTAGGCATATCAAGAGCCAGTGTTCACGTCGGCCTCAGGTATTTTAGAGAAAGCACTGGCAATTTCTTGAGTTGTCTACCCCCGTGTCAAACTAATTATTTTTACCCTGCCGGAAATGATGTAATTATTTATTCTTTGTAGACAGATCCAAAATATCCATTTGTGAGCACATTGTCCTGGACTTTTCAAATCAAGAGCATTTAAATATAAGTTGTGGAATTAATCGAATTACCACTTGATGGGGGTTGTTTTCTCATCTCTTTTCCACTAATTGTGTTTTCCATACTTTTTTGTATTCCCACTTTCTCAAACATGAAATGCCAAAGTAGATGGTAGAATTTATGAGGCAAAAAATGTGTTTTCCAAGATTCTGCCTTTTGATGAAACAGAAAAACCTGAGGTAGACAGGCAGCAGAGCCAAGACTTCAGAGAAATAATAGTTAAAAAAGAGGACAAATATGATTTTGTCACGTGGTTTGTTTGGGATGGGTGTGAACGACCAGGACCGATGATGGACAATGATGTCTTGATAATAATTGCTTCGGTGTGTAGCACTTTTTAATGGGACAATTCAAAGCTTCACACGTCATTATTCATTTCCTCCAAGGCACATTGG